CACGCGGGTACAGGGTCCCAAAGCATTGGGCCGTCCTCGACTGCTTTCCTGGGCCACAGGCAGGGAGCTGGAAGGGAAGCGGGACTGCCAGGACCAGAACCGGTGACCATATGGGATCCCGGGCGTGCTAGGCGAGGACCTTAACCACTGTGCCACCATCGTGCCAGGCCCAATAGCATTCTTTTTTAAAAAATTCATTTATTTTTATTGCAAAGAGAAGAGGAGAGGCAGAGAGGAAGATCTTCTTCCAATGATTTACTCCCCAAGTGACTTTTTGGAAAGTTAGATATACAGAGAGGAGAGATATAGAGGAAGAGCTTCTGTCCGCTGATTCACTCTGTAAGTTGCCACACCAGCCAGAGCTGAGCCAATCCGAAGCCAGGAGCCAGGAGCTTCTTCTAGGTTTCCCATGTGGGTGCAGGGTCCCAAGGCTTTGGGCTATCCTGGACCACTTTCCCAAGCCACAAGCGGGGAGTGATGGGAAGCAAGGCCGCCAGGATTAGAACCGGCTTCCATATGGGTCCTAGCACAGGTAAAACAAGGACTTTAGCCACTAGGTCATGGCACCGGGCCCTATTGTAGCATTCTTGTACATTGTTAGATTTGATTTGCTAGTATTTTGGTGATGTTTTTGTCTGATTTTGGTGGTACAGCCTCATAGAATGAGTTCAGAATTTTTTTTTCTGGAAGAAATTTTAAAGAACTAGTATTATTTTTTACTTAGGTGTTCAGTAGGATTCTTCAGTGAAACCAAGTAGGCCAGCTGCAGTCTGTTTTGGAAGGTATTAACTATTGATCTAATTTCTGTAATGGATCAAGGCTGACTTATCTGTTTCTCCTTGTGCAGATGTTGATAGATCATTATTCAAGAAATTAGTCCATTTTACCAAAGTTATTAACTGTGTGTATATATTCATAGGTATATGAATTTAAAGGTTACAGTCTCCTAGTATCTATGGGATTAGTTGTATTGGTCCCTATTTTAGTTCTCATAATATGAATTAATGTCTTTATTGAACTCTTAAATGAACAAGTTTTTGGCTTCATTGATTTTTCTTTCTTTTCTTAAAAATATTATTTTTGGTAATTACATTACTAAGAAGGACAGACATCCATGTGGACCACTGATTAGGTTGGGGAGGGTTGAGAAATGAAGGAAAGAGGGTGAGACAATTGTTTCCAATTTTTTTTTTTTTTTTGTATCTGGAGGAACGGAAAAGAGAAGAGGAGAGGGCTGCTCCCAGGATGCCTAATCACATCAGCACTGAGGGATGTGGGAGAGCGACTTGATACCATCCCATGGTGCCCAATGTGGAACATGTTCTGAGGGCACTGCTCAAGTGATTTTGATAGTTTTGAGGTGTTGTTGATTTCTTTGCTCCAAGATTGAGGATATCCTTCAAAGGTCCATTGGCTGACATAATCCACCTTAGATTCTCCAATTGCCTGGATGGATACTTGCTGTCAAAGCTTGGCTGTGAGAATTGTCTAATTTGGTCTGCCCTGCCTGACACTAGATGTCCTCTTCAAGTCTCAATGAGTTGTCATGTCCCTCATTTGCATCTGGTCATACTGTCCACTGCATAGGCTTCAACAGCTGAGGAGACCCAATTCTGACTCATGCACTGCACAGTAAGACCACAGATCCTGTGATTTTCCCTGTGGTTGGAGTTTTTAAGACTAGTGCTCCAGTTGGAGGGGGTCCCTAAAGAAATCATAAGTAAGGAGTTATTGTGTTTGGTATTCACTATCTTTTTTACTATGTATGTTTGCATATTTTGCCTAATTTGACTGACAAGTTTTAGTCTTAAAATTTTATTTATTTTTCTTTTAAAGATTTATTTATTTTTTATTGGAAAGGCAGATATGCAGAGAGGAGGAGAGACAGAGAGGAAGATCTTCTGTCCGATGGTTCACTCCCCAGGTGACCACAATGGCCGGTGCTGCACTGATCCAAAAACCAGGAGCCAGGAGCACTTCCAGGTCGCCCACGCAGGTGCAGGGTCCCAAGGCTTTGGGCTGTCCTCGACTGCTCTCCCAGGCCACAAGCAGGGAGCTGGATGGGAAACAGAGTCACTGGGATTAGAACCGGTGACCATATGGGATCCTGGCCGTGTGCAAGGCGAGGACTTTAACCACTACACTATCGCTCCTGGCCCTAAAATTTTATTTTAAAATTTTATTTGAAAGACAGAAGACTGACAGTTCTTCCACCTGCTGCTTCACTCCCTGAATGTCCACATCAGCAGAGGCTGGGTAGGCTGAAGCCTGAAGATTTTAATGAATCTGGTTCTCCCACATGAATGGTAGGACCCTAAGTGCTTAAGTCATCATCTTCTGTCTCCTAGAGTGTATATGAGCAGAAAGCTAAAATCAGAAACAGAACCTGGACTTGAACCCAAACCCTCCAGTATGAGGTGCAAGCATCCAGGTTTGTTTTAACTGTCAAATATCAATCCCCTAATTTGGCAAGTTTATAACCATTATTTCTTTAAATACTTTTTCAGCCTTTTTCTCTCTCCTCCTTCTGCTTTTTATCTTTCCTCTGTTGATGTAAATTTTGGAAGTTCTGATGTAGTTCAGCAAGACTTGGAGACGTGTGTGTGTGTGTGTGTGTGTGTGTGTGTGTGTGTGTAAGTGTGTTTTCTCTGTGTTTTTAAATTGAACTTTCCAGTGCTTTACTTTTCTGCTCACAGACTCTGCAATGGCTGACCTGGTCTGTCCACGTTTCCCACATGGGTGGCAGAAGTCAAAGTGCATGGGTCACCCTCTGCTGCTTTCCAAGGCATGTTATCTAGGAGTTACTCTGGAAAAAGAGTGGCTTGAGATAGAACTGGCACTCTGAAATGAAAAGTGGACATCACAGGCTTAACTTGGTACCCCATAATGCTAGCTGCATTTGGTTCTTCTTTTTGATTTTATTTCTTTCCTCATATATTCGTTTCTTTGCTGAGACTTTGATTTTGATTTTCCATTTGTTTCAATCGCTGTTGAAGAACTTTTATGATAACTACTTTGGGTCCTTCTCAGACAATTTTACATGTCCCCTCATTATTGGCATCTGTTGATTGTTTCATTTAATTTACTCTGACATTTTCCAGCTTCATAGTACGAGTGAATTTTTTATGAGGCTTGCACATTTTATTGTGAGTCTTTGGGTCTTGTTTAAACCTTTGGTTTTAGTTCATTTCCTCAGCTACCTCTGTAGAAGGGGACAGAAGAAATGCCATCCCATTACTACCAACTGGTGTCATAGGGGGGACATTAGTCTCATAATGTCTTCAACATTATATTCATAAATGTCATCCCTGTCTTTAAGGAAGGAATTAGCACTTTTGCTGGGGAAGAATAGATTTATCATGTCACAGCCAGGTGACTGGTAAAAGAGTAGGCTTCCCACATGTTGCTTAAAGGCAGTACATAGGACTTGCTTGGCTGTTGCCTAGCAGTGATAAGTGTCACAGGTCGCTACATGTCTTCTCTGTATTAGATTGGAGATAACAGCCCCTTAGTTTAGCTTGGCAAGAATTGAAATCTACTTTTTGTTTTGTTGTCCTTGCCTATTCCAGCCATTTTTTTTTTAATTCTTAAAACAAGTTTATTTTATCTTGAAAGTGGTTTACATAGCTTAGAGGGATGTATACGCATGTGGACCACTGATTAGGATGGGGAGGGTTGAGGAATGGAGGAAAATGGGTGAGACAGTTTCTTCCAAATTTGTTTTCTTCCCATATCTGGGGAATGGGGAAGAGAAGAAGAGAGGGCTGCTTCTAGTAACATAACTGCATCAGTACCCGGAATGGGGGGCAGCCACTTCATGTCATCCCAGATTCCCCAATGTGGAGCATGTTTCAAGCCTAAGTGGTTTCGATAGTTCTGAGATGCAGTTGATTTCATTGCTACAATGTTGAGGAAATCCTTCCAAGGTCCATTGGCTGACGTAGTCCACCCTAGAGTCTGTATACCCAGATACTTGTTGTCAAAGCTTGATAAGGAGAGTTCCAATCTGTTCTGCCATCCAAGGTACTTGAGTCCCCTGCAGACCTCAGTGAGCTGCGATGTGCTCCATGTGCATCTGGGCATGCTGCACACCACATAGGCTTCAGGAACTGAGGATACCCAGTTCTGACACATGCATTCAACAGTCAGACCACAGATCCTATTTTTTCCCCCATGGTTTGAGTTTTGTGTGCAGTCATCCAGTTGAGAGAGTCCCTAAAGAAACCTTGCCAAAGGTGACCCCAGACCTGACCCCTGTGTGTGCCAGCTGGTGCGGGGTCTGGCTCAGTTTGCCATTGATATAAGACTACACACACACTGGTAGTTGCAGTCATCTGGCCTGTTCTGACCCCAGCTCCATCTCTTAATAAGACCAACAGATAGTCTATGTCCATACCACCCTTAAACATGCCCGATCTCTTCTGATCTTGGAAACCAACAGATGCTGTGGCTCAGTCAATCATGGCCACCACATACTTGGCCCTTATGTACACAAGAAAGAACTGCAACCTTGTTAGAGTAACTCCCAATTACCCCCATCAGGCCTGCCCCCAGCCCCAGTTGCTGCATGCCAATATATGCAGCATACTGGTCCAGTCTGTTTTGCATCCTATTCAGCTCTCATACATGTCAATGGGTGCTGCAGCTAGCCCAACCCAACTTATACCACTAGTCCAGCTGACACGTGCTGCTACTTACCCAGCCAGGCCTGCCCCAGCCCTGGTTTTGATGCTCCCATCAGTCATTTCTTGTAAATGAATTGTACAGTACATTGCCTTGGCCTTTAAGAAAAAAAAAAAGTTTGTTTAATAGGCAGGAAAGAAGAAGGAGACAGAGAGAGCTCTCCCATTCACTGCTTTACTTCCCAAATGCTGACAACAGCTCCAACCTTGGACTAGCCACATTGTTGAAGCTATTACTCATTTTGAAACATTGCAAATGCATAAACCTTTAGTCATGACTGCTGTAGTTAATAAATGTATATCATTTTGTCTGTTTAGAAAAAAGAAAGTGAATGTCTACAACTAAAAATTCTGGTGCTCCGAAATGAATTGGAAAGACAGAAGAAAGCTTTGGGTCGAGAGGTGGCATTACTGCATAAGCAACAATTATCATTACAGGATAAAGGTGAGTAGCAATCATATACAAATGCTCCACTTTCCATGGTTTCTTTGTTTTCCATGGGCTCAAGTAGTTATTGGTGTTAATATGATGGTAGATTTTTCTTTAATGTTTAAGTATTTTTAAAAATAAAGATGCCTCATACTGAAGTATACAAATCCTTCTATCTGCACAGCTTGATTTCTGATAGCTAATACACCCAGGTAAGCAGAGTCTCAACTGACAAATAGTATTTTCAGACCCCCAAACCTCACCAATGCCTCATGTTCTCTTCCACTAACCAGTTATCTAGCCTGAGTGACCATGGACCTGACTTACAATAGTGGACTCATGCTCATTCTTATGTGCCCACTCTGTTCAGGACTCTCTTTCGTAAAACTCATCTTTATTTTTGTGTGATTTAGTTTATTTATTCTTAAAGACAAATAATATTCCATTGTAAGAACCTGACTTCATTTATTTTCTCACACTGTTAGTTTTAAAGTCACTAACAGGTTGAGATTATCATAGTTAATGCTGTTGTGAACATTCTGGTACACACTCCTTTATAAAAAAAATTTTTACTTAATTATTTGAAAGGCACACTCACAGAGTGATTTCACTGAAATCCTACAGCAGCAAGGCTGAAGTAGGGAGCTGGGAATGCACGATGGGGACCTGATGACTTGAATCTTCATTGCTGCTTCCCAGGGTCGGCCTTAGCAGGAAGCTGGAGTCAGGAGCTGGAGGTGTGTAATGGGAACCCAGACACTTGATGTGTAATGGGAATGTCCTAACTGATTGGCTAAACACCACTCCCCCTGATAGTTATTTCTTAATGAATTTTTTTTTTTTTTTGTATTTTAGACAAATAAACACCTAGGTATAGAAGTGAATAGTCCTAGGATATGCACATCTCCAACTTTAGTAGACTGTATCCTAACATTTTCCAAATTTTCAGCATTGCTTTTTTCATCGAGTAGTGCTTTTGTCCTATGCCTTTAACACCATGTGGTACTGTGTCTTGTCTTATTTTAGCCTTTCTGTAGGTGTGTGATAATATCCCTTGTGGCTGTAGTTTTTATTTTTCTGAAGATTAATAAAATTTATCACCATTTCATTGATTTCTTGCTTGATTGAGATAACATCTTTTTTTTAAGTGCGTGCTTAAATATTTTGCCATTTTTTAAAGGACAAATTGGATTTGCCTTTAAAAAATGACATTTGTTTATATTTTACGGATATAGTTTCTTTGACATTTGCAATAAAAATTTATCTCTCCATTCTGTGACTTGCTGATTCACTCTTTTAAGATTCTTTTAAATGAATGGGAGTTCCATCTTCTTAATCTTTTATATTTAAAAGTTTTTGGTTTAGATTACAAAATATTTACATTTTTAAAGCTTTAATTTGTTTTTATTAGAAAGGTAGAGTTGCAGGAGAGACAGAGAGAGTATTATCTTCATCTACCAATTCACTCCCCAAATGGCCACAATGGGTGGAGCTCGGCTCCAGCCCAGAATCCAGATTTCTAGGAACTACTTCTAGGTCTTCCAGATGCATACTGATGGACAAGGGCTTGAGCCCTCCTCTGCTGCCTTGCAAGGCCATTAGCAGGTAGCTAGATTGGAAGTGGAGTTGCCAGGACTCAAGTCAGTGCCCATGTTGGATACTACTGCAACAGGTTGAAGTTTAGCTTGGTATGCCATGAAGCAGGGTCATATTTCACTTGATCTTAGCCAAAAGGCCGAGAAGCAATGCAGGATCAAATTTGTCTGTTTTTAAAACGTAACAATATTCTTCTGTCTTCCTTGAAACACCTGTAGTATTTTACTTTCTATATTTATAGCAATAATTCATCTTAAATGTGTTTTGTATATGGTAAATAGGAGCGAAGATTATGTTTTTTTTTAATATTGTCAGTTGATTGAGCACTACTCACTGAAGGTCATCCATTCTCTATTACATTGCAGTTTCATTCTATCATAAATGAGATGCTTACATATCCACCTGTATGTCTCTTCAGGATTTTCTGTTCATCTCTGTATCTTTTTTGATTTTTTTTTGCCTTTATCTCATTGTTTTTTCTAATATAATCAGTCTTACTACCTGTTAAAATTCTTTAGCTTAATTGTTTTTATTCACTTATCACTTAAATTATTACCATCCTTATGCATAACATACAAATTTCTATGCAGAAAAGAAAACCTTGCTAGATGTTTGGTAGAACTACATTGAATATGTTAATCAATGTAACTGGGCTAACAGGTGTTTTACATCCCTCTAAAAAGGATATATGTCTGTGTTTATTAGTTTTTTTTTTAATAAAACAGTGAAATAAACTAATTATTAGTGTATACACCTTTCCCTTGATTGACTTTTCAATTTTCATTGAAATTATTTCTGGTTGTGATGTTTTATGATAATATGAATATCTTCAAATGTCGTGCCCACGTTTCTTATCGTCCTGCGATAAGAGGCAGACGCGAGTGAAGTCTTCTGCGGTAATCTTTATTGTGCGCACCAAGATGAGGAGGGAAAAGGCTCCGACCCAGGCAGGCTGTCTGCTCTTATGTGCTGACTGGCCCCGCCTCCGCCGATGATAGGTCGGCGTCATGATTACGCAGGGTCCTGGGCGACTGGATTCGTCAGTCCCAGTGTTCATGCGCCGGCCACGCCTCAGCTCACCGCAGTACCACGAAAGCTACGTCACCAGGAACCAAGGTGTGGCTTTTCCGGCCGGCGCCATTTTGGGTACGGCATGTGGCCAGTACATACAGATGCGGGTGGCAACATTCAAATTTAATTTTCTACTCGTTGCAGTTATATAGATATACAACCAACTCACATCATCCCATATACAATTAAATCAGTCATAACTGATTTAAATAGCAAAATGGTAAAAGTCTTAAGCAGATTTTTTTGAGATGTAATTCATTTGTCATGTAATTCACCTTTAAAATAGATGCTTATTTTAATTATTTTTGTCTACTTGAAAAGCAAAATTATGGGAAGAGAGAAATTGAGAGAGAGAAAAGATCAACTAGTTCACTCCCCAAAATGCCCACAGCAGCTGGGATAGCTCCAAGCTGAAGGCAAGAGTCAGGAACTCCGTCCAGGTATCTCACGTGGGTGATAGGGCCCTAAGTACTTGAGCCATCATCTATTGCTTCCTAGCTTGTGATGGCAGAAGCTGGATCAGAAATGGGAGCTCAGCCCTGAACCAGCTCTTACTTAAGTGATGGCTTAGTGTGCTATACCACAATATCTGCCATCTGTTCACCATTTTGAAGTATATGATTCAGTGCTTTTAACTTTATTCACAGGCTTATGCAGTGTTCACCGAAGTCTCATTGGTGTCACTCCATTTGTATTCATTACATATTCTTCCTCTCTCTAATCCTAAGCAACAGCTAATCTACTTTCTGTCTCTGTTTTTTGTTTGTTTGTTTTGTTTTTGTGTTTTTAAAAACTTACTTATTTTCAACCTTATTTGAAAGGCAGGGAAACAGACAGATCTTGCCTCCACTGGTTTACTCCCTTACTCCCTGAAGCAGCTGGGGCGGAATACTTCAAACACACAGAATTCCAGTCGTTTCCTTGCATGCCCTTTGCTCTGTCTCATGTGCCTTTGGGCCTTCACTCTCTCCAGGGCTCCCTCACTGGATCAGCTCTTCTGCACGGATCTTCATCCTGCAGGTTAGATGTAAAGCTCAGTGTTTCTTCCTTGACAGCAGTGTGGTTACACATCTCTTTCCCCACTCTGTATGACCCCTGAAAACCTGCATGGCCACAAGAACTCTGTTAAATACTCATGTATCAGGACCAGCACTGTGGTATAGCAGGTAAAGCCACTGACAGCAGCACTAGGATCCCATATGAGTGCTGGTTCAATTCCTGGCAGCTTCAATTCCCATCCAGCTCCCTGCTAATGATCCTGAGAGCAGCAGAAGATGGCTCAATTTCTTGGATCCCTGTAGCCACTTGGAAGACCCAAAAGAAGCACGTCACTCCTAACTTCATCCTGGCCCAGCTCTGGCCATTATAAAACCATTTGGGAATGAACCAACAGGTGACAATTTTCTCTCTCTTACCTGTAACTCTGCCTTTTAAATAAGTAAGTTTTATAGAAATACTCTTATATTTTTGATTGTGGTATAATTCCTGGGATATTGTAAGCATTCAGGAAGGGTTTGTTGAACAAATCATACTCATAATTTACTGTGGACATTATTGGTGAAGAGATTTGTCTAGGAGCCCCTATACCTATGTGGAAGACTCAGAGGAAGTGCCTGGATGTTTGAAGAGTGAACCAAAGGATGAAAAATACTTCTCTCTGTCTCTTCTCTCTCTGAATGTGTCTTTCAAATCAAAATAAATCTTTAAAGAAAAGAAAGATTTGTTTAGTTTCTAGTTCAGCATTGATTTTGAGTGATTGCCAGACTAATTAATGTTTCAGATGAGGTTTTGTCAATTATGGTAGTTTTCTTTTGTCACTTTGAAAGACATTTGTGTAATGAAGGTGACTTCTACGTGTGGTTCTATACTTTCTAAAAGCTCTTGCTTGGTTAAACACTGTGTTCTTTTGTTCACATCTTAATTGAAGAAGAGTTACACAGCATTTTTTTTTTTTTATTGGACAGTCAGATATACAGAGAAGAAGAGAGAGGGGAAAATTTTCCATCCACTGACTTTAATTCCTCAAGTGGCTGCAAACGGCTGGAGCTAGGCTCCAATCCGAAGGCAGGAGCCAGGAGCTTCTTCTGGGTCTCCCACATGGGTGTAGGGTATCAAGGCTTTGGGCCGTCTTCTACTACTTTCCCAGGCCACAAGCAGGGATCTGGAATGGATTAGAGCCTGCACCCATATGGGATCCTGGTGGTTGCAAGGCAAAGACTTTAGCCACTAGGCTATTGCCAGGCTCCACACAGCATTTTAGATCAATGGTTTAGATTAGATCAAAAGGCCAAGGGTTCCTATTTGGAATTAGGGCTAACATTTTTTTTTCCTCATGGGTCTAAAACTGT